CCACTGGGAGAAAAATAAGTCAGTAAGTGGAGCGATAAAATTCCATGTCTGTCAAAGTGTCTAACAGAGCTATAGGAAAAAAACCAAAATGTATGCTTCATGTTTGAATGTATCAATGTGATAATTCAATATACTTCTTGAATAATAAATACTATTAAGATAAAATGACTATCAACTTGACTAAATTGATCTTGAATGATAGGTAATACAAAGTCTTTTAAAACATAACACTTGTATTTTCTAGGCAATGTAAATTAAACCTATCTTCTATAATATAAAATGATGTATTAGAAATGTCAGAGACGTCTTCAAAATTGGAATATTAAAAGGCCAGCCACTGCAAAGTGCCCGTTTTGATATTCAGCTTTACAATACACTGCTTTACTGTGGGGCCAAATATTGAGAAAAAAAATAAAATCACATTTCCTGATGAACTGACATTAGGAAGGATCATTTCCCAGAAGAAGGACTTAGTAATGTGAAAGAATTGTTGGAAAAGTGAAACATCTTGCTGAGAAACAAGAAAAAGACTTGTTCCTGCCATCATGGTCAATCACTCAGACTCACTGGGCTCATACCACCTTGAAGACTTTTCCTTCCATCCCTCTTCCTCCGCCCYTCCCTTTTCCCTTTCTTTCCTTTTGTTCTTTTTTTTTTTTTTTCTCTGCCTGTACATACTAAGTCACAAGAATCTCACTTGTCCATGGCTCATTAACCGTATAAAGCATTTGCTCCCAGACAGAAACTGGTTCSGTGGGTGGTTTGGAGGACTGTGTAACTTAGAGCACTTTCCTTCCCTTGGGACATCATATATATATGGTTCTCTACTTTTTTTAATGGCCCCATTTCCTTGGAAAATTTCTCTCAATACTGAGGCAGGTTCATGGGTATACAGTCTTTGCCAATGCATGCGACTCTCTCTCRGGCTTCTACACTTGGTTTTAGTGTTCTGTGGTCACTATTTTGACATTCTTAATAATTTTAACTTTGACCTTGTGTTCTGTAAATGAAGTCTAATGGAACAATGTACTATACATATGAGCACAGGAGATAGGGACAGTATTTGTTTTTGTTGTTCTCTTTCACCCAAATATAATGTTTGCAGTGATCCCTGAACATGGTTGACTTCATGAAGCATGAAAGTTCAGCAAGAAACAAGGTAAGTGTGTTAAGAGTGTGCCTAYATCTAGGTACTGACAGCCCCCAAAGATCACATGTTCTACTTGATCCAGAACTTTGCAGAAAGAAGAAAATGACCGCGGACCCCTATTCTATTCTTTCTTACTCATCCAGTTGTACTGATAATAATGACACTGAAGCAGAAGGAAAGATAAAGCAATCCATATTTCCTTTTTCTTTCTGTCACTCTTAACTCATCAGTAGGCTGTAGGTCAAGGAAATATGTGCATATCAAGATGGGCAGTAAAAAGAGCTGTTGCTGGGCATAGTGGCACACCAAGTAAAACCCATTTGTTTGCTTGTAATCCCAGTGACTGGGGAGGCCGAGGCAGGAGGATCAGGAGTTCAAAGCCAGCCTCAGCAACTTAACAAGGCCCTAACCAACTTATTGAGACTCCGTCTCTAAAGAAAATATTAAAAAAAAAAAAAAAAAACGGACTAGGGATGTGGCTCCTGGGTTCAATCTCTGGAATTCCTCCCACAAAAGGCATTTCGTTTTGTGCAGTAAGGTTTCAATGTTCTGTTAAGAATAAATTGAATAATTTTGGTGCTTTTATATTCAAGTGAAATGCTTTATGTTGGTATTTAAAACTGTCATTTCACAATATCAAGATGAAAGGTAAAATTCATGCTAATAATTAGAATTTCTCTTCTTTATTAGAAGGACATTAAATGACAAATTGAATGTGACAAGTTGGGAGGATCACATAAGAAAGAAAAAGGGTTTATGTTTTAATATCTTTAATGGTACTTTTCTCCTGTTTTCTATATATATTTTTTGTTTCTTTGTGGGTTTTTTTTAATTGTTTTCGATCTAGGGGTACTGCATTTTCATTTTGCACTGTGCCCTGCAAATTATGTAGCTAGCTCTGCTGAAGACCTTTTAGTTAAAACTGCTTCACTTTTACTAACCATAGTTAAGAAGCATTACCTCAGTGTCAGTAATATTTCTGAATTACAGAAAGTGAAGACCAAGTTGGTGGTTCTTTGCAAACTCTGTAATTTTTCTTGGCATACTTAAGAATTTTCAAGTGAAASCCATTTGTTCTCAAGCAAGAATAACAAAAATAGTTTGAAATTTTTCATTTCTTTGTCAGTGGTAGTTCTTTTTTTCAATGAACTACCTTTTTCTAATTTACTTTTATTCTACTGGCCCTCACTAAAAATATAGAGCATTTAAGCTGTCTTGCAGGTCACATAGACTTTGGCTTTCAGAGGAATCAGGAGAGACATGTATTTTTAGGGCTGGATTGGGACATAAGCATCATTTCAGTCTCTAGGAAATATATGTTTTAAGTGTCAAATAACTGGCTTACAAACTAACCTTTGTTCCATAGCCCGTTTGCAAGTCAAGAGCTTTCTGATTTTAGTTTACGTTTTCTTACAGTTCAAATACGAGCTCAAGATGCTCATTTACTTCATGATTATGAAACACCTACTATATAACGGAGTTTTCAAAAACCACTTTGGAACATTTAGTTAGTCAGGTTTGAGAGCTTAGCATGCTGTTCCCTTGGTTTGGTCCTAGAATTTAGTTAGGAAGAGGTAATACAAATGGACAGGAAGAAGACAAACAGGAAAAAGAAAGGTTGTAATTTTATACCAAAATTCAGATATTTGCTCTTCATGTTCTTGTTTCCATAATTACTATAGAGGAGATGATATTATTTAGTCATTTTTAGTCATCTCCTGGAGACCTCTGAAAATTAGATGTTTTCTGTGATATTATCCTATGAGAATAGAGAAAAAGTTATAGATGCTATTCATCTCCAAGAATTTTATTTGCCTTCAGTCAGCAAGAAGAGTTAGAGATTTTAATTTAAAAATGAAAAAAAAAAAGAAACAAACAAAAAACAGAACAACAGAAAAAAAGGAAAAAAAGAATTTTCTCTGGTCTCTACGTCAACTGAGGTCATGTTTAATAATTACACCTCTGTGTATTAAATTAATCCTTTATGCTTTATCTTTTCAATGCAAAATACTAGGTCACAAACTCTATGTGAACCAGCTGTTTCTGGAATTCAGTTTTGGAATACTTTATTTTTTTTTCCTTTTAACTCTATTTTACTTGTTTGTCTTCCTTCCAAGTAAGAGAGATAGTTTACAAAAGAGTAAGAAAATAGTTGGTTTTAGTAAACATATTAGATTTTCACAAATAACAATTTTCACATTTGTTATCTTTTAGTAAGATGATATTTTCTAATGTGTTTTGATTATAGAATGCTTTTTTAGCACAAGAAAAGACCGTCAAAAATTGTATATCAAAAAGGAACCCCAACTATCATTTCTCTTATTGAATCTTTGATACTTATTTGCTATGGTTGTCCCTAATTACAAACGTTGTTTAATTCCATTACTTTTAGAGAATGATGGTTTATTTTATTTTTATGAAGACTTTTTTTTTCTCCCAAAACACTACTGGATTAAGTTTATTTCCCAGGTTAGTAATTCTTACTAGAAGTTGTTTTTGTGTGTATTTTTTAAAAGGCGATCTCTTTAAAAAGAGAGACAACTTAAATCACTATTATACTMCATGTTTATGTTGAAAAACGACCATGAGAAAATAAAAATTGTTTTGAGATTACATTTTCAGAAATCTCCATTATGGAAATTATTCCTGTTAGGTGCAGTTGTCTGAAGGGTGGGCTGAAGGAATGTTAGCTGCAGGATAACCCAGGCACTCAAAGCCCCCTCGGTCTGGTCCTTTATCACCTATTTGCATCAAGTCTGAACACTGGCCCCCCACCCACCTGGTGTAACAGAAACCCACATCTGACCCCTGCCCCTTCTGCCTGAAGACAGAAGATGACACCTTTAGCAACTACTGTATGATCCAATCATTGTAAACCAACAATTTAGCTTGCAGAACCAAAGATCTCATTAGATTTTGGCTATAAAAACTCCCTCCTGCTGGGCCCCTCTCSCTTGCTTTCCCTCTCTTGCCTCTCTCTTGCTCTTCTCTCGCTTTCACTCTCTCTCTCTCTCCTTCTCACGCTCTCTTGCTCTTTATTTCTTTTCTCTCTCTCTCTTTTCTACTCTTTCTCACTGTTGTAATAAAGATCCCTTGGTCGCTCCTAGTGTTGTGGTCACTTTCCTTTCAATTCCACTATCATAAAGCAGCAAGAGCAAACTGTCAAAGTGGGCTGTGCATAAACACAGCCAGATTTTTTTTTCCCCCCAAAACCATGATTTCATCACATCCTCAGGACAAATCTTATGGTACAATAAAACAAAATTCTCAGGTTAACTCCTATATCAGCACCACTCTACTCGTGGCGCCCATCAAGCTTTTAAACCCCAAATCTGACACACTGCTAGATGCGAGCAATATTTCAATATCTTTCGTGCATGTTAAAAAAAAAAAAAAAAAGTTCTAAGTGGAAGTGCAAGGGTCCTGTCCTTAGGTCCCTTCTTGTGATCAGGCACAAATGGGCTATTCTCTTCTATCCCTACAGATTACCTGTTTGTAAAATAAGAAACCCGGACAAAGTTTTTCTTTACTTCCCCTAATCTGACTCTGGGCATGAAAGGGAGTAGGTTGAATCAGGGAAGATTCTGAGGGTTACACTTTGCCCTCTAACTTCTGAAATCAAGGCTCTGCGGGCCGTGCAGCCACGGAAACCCAAAAATTGGAACCAGGGCGGCGTTCTGCAGCTGCTCTTCCGGRAACCCGCCCGCTCCTGGAAACGAGTTCGCGCCACGCCCCCCTYCACACAGTCCTAGTCGCCCGGGAACTACAATTCCCAGAATGCCATGCAATACCCTTCTCGCAGGGTACCAATAAGCGCGCGACTGACGCCATCATCCAGCGCGGTGTTTAGGCTCCACTGATGTCGTGGCGCTTTGGGGCAAGAAGTTGGTGTTGCTTGGGCCCCTGGGACTGAAGACGAGGTCCGGGTGACTCCGGCCCTTTCCTACCCACATCTCCCTCGCTCGCCTTTCTCTCCTTCCTCTGGCAGGATGAGGCGTGCAGGCCTGGGTAAGAAGAGAGCTGAGGTTCAAAGTTTGGGGACCCCAGAAACAGCCTTGCTGGGAGGCATAGGGCTGTGGGAGGGTCTCGACGGGTCTCCTGTCATTGGCATTGGGGCCTTAAAGTGAGATGTTTGAAGGTAATCTTTGGAGGCAGTCCGAATGGAAACACGTAATTTGTCCCAGATCCCAGGGAGTTTCTTAAGTCCAATTCAGACCAAGTTTGGATGGTAGGTTAGAGGGAGTAGATCTGGAGCTGGGTTATGTACAAGTGCCAACTCAGTAGTGTGTTTTTTTTTTTTTTTTGTTTTGTTTTTTTTCTCTAAGTAGTGATTATGGAAACTGCTCAATTTCCCTAAGCCTGACTCTGGTTTCTCTTTCTCTGTTCAATAAAGAGTGAGTGTTGCGTGCTAAGCACACTACTGATTATGTTGGAAACAGTGAGTTACAAAGGTAAATGTACGTGTCATTATTATTCAAGGCACTGGTATGTAAGATCTGGGTCAAAGGCGATTTTTACGTAGAAAGTTTCTTACCTGAACGTTGTTCCACTGTAATGGCAGTAAGTAAAACGTGATAAGGATTTAATAAGTTCACATTGTTCTTGACTGTGAATTAAGGAAGCCAGCATACTAAGCAGCAGGAATAAGTCAAAAGCACAAGCAGATTTAATGGACCCTTATGATAACACACAGCTATTAACAGCATTTTCTGGTCCTAAACTCTCTATTAAGTGGCTTTAAAAAAAAAAAAAACTACTTAATCAGAGTAGGAAAAAATACCTGAGATATTTTTAAAAAGATGTTACCATTCTCATTGTAAGATGGAAAAGGGAAAAACAATAGCGTTTTCTGAAGGTTGGCTATTTAAAGTCAGTGCAAGTTGCCAATACATGTAGACATCTTCATTGATTAATAAATTGTACTGTGAGAAACAGGTTTTTATGCATTTTTATGAATACTTGGATCATAGAAAGTGGTCCAAGACAGGCATGGTGGCACATGTCTATAATCCCAGTGATTTGGGAGGCTTGAGGCAAAAGAATCGATAGTTGGAGGCCAGCCTCAGCAACTTAGCAAGACCCTGTCTCAAAAGAAAAAAAAAAAAAGTGGGGGGCTGGGGATGTGGCTCAGTGCTTAAGTGCCCATAGGATCAATCTCTAAAAAGAGAAGACAAAATAAAATAAAAAAGTGGTCCAGGTCATTAAAGTGAAAAAGAACTGATTTTGAACAACAAACATTTATTGTGTAATTAAGTAAGCTTTAACTACATAGTCATTTGTCACCTTGTTTATGCTCCCCAAAGCTTTCCAACCTAGCTGGGGAGTAGGACTATGTACAAAGATAAATTATGGTACAAAAGTGGTAGCTAAACATCCAAATACCAGTTCTGCAGACAGTGAATGTTTCCGAGATTGCAGAGATGGATCACTATGTACTTTGTGGAAACATCGGAATTTCAACTAGACTTTGATTAGTGGAGAGTGGGAGAAGTAAGTTCCAGATGGGAGGGTGACCAAAATTTTTAAAAAAGGTTTGTACTAGAACTACATCATAATCAAGAGATTATGATGATTAAACTAGTTTGATTGAAGTAGGGGATATGAGACCACATTGTGGAGGTTTTTGCACAACTCCTAGGGCACATGGGTTTACATCATTAGTAGACTATTGCCCATTTGAATGTATTTTTTTTTGTCTTCCTAAATTTCAAGAAATAGACTTGAGAAATGGTAGTTCTCAGCCCAACTGTACACTAGAATTACCTGGGAAGTTTTTAAAGTGTTGTTATCTGGATCCCAGCTCAGACCAATTAAATTAGAATCTCATGGATAGAGTTCTCATAATACATATATATGCTTCAACCATTCTTTTGGCAAGCAATCTCAAACTTTTGGGACTCTGTTTTTCTCTAGCCCCCGTGTTGAATACCTCCAGCTCTAGATCAGTCTAACAGTGTGGCTTTTCAAGGGTTAATTCAGGCGATTGAGTTCTTCTATAAAAAGGTCACACATCTGGGAGGCATGAAACCATTACAACATATTGTGGCAACCAGGTTGGTTTTAACCTCCTAGTAGTCCTGAGCAGTCCTGGTCATTTCTCTTCATTATTCTCTTTACTTTTTATTTCAAATGATCACCATTCAAATGAGCACCAAGTAGCCCCCTTTCTTCCTTTACTGAGGAAACTGATGACATCAACTTTTTAAAAATGTGGTTAGATAACACCCTCAACCATGCTTTCCTGTTTCAACCCCCCAACACATTTATGTTGCATTCACTCTCTAAGGCTCACTGTACCTGTTGTTTGCCTGATGAATACCAAGTACCTTATTAGGGTGGTGGGGACTGTATTCCTAGTGCCATCCCCTAGAAGATACGTTCTATAGAAGGAGCACCTGAAAAGAGTAGTTGATCTGACATATAGCTCAAATATTTGTTGAAGAATGAATGAAATGCCACAGAACTCTCAACTAATATTCTCCGTAAGTTATTCCCTCTCCTAGGACTTCAGCTTGTGTTCCTTATTCCCCTTCACCCCTTGACTCTTTCCCATTCAGGGAAAGAGATGCTGGTAAAACACCATCCATCTGCCAAGAGTTTCTYTCCCACTATGCTTTCTTCCTTTCCTTCAAAACTAGATTTCTTCAATGAGTAGTTAATGTAACTGCTTTTAGATCTTTTATTAAAACATATTTCTAATAAGCAKGAAATGTGTGCCAATATCCTTGTATATCAGTGCCTATTTTAGTGTCTTCTGAATAATCAGTAAGTGATTAATAAATATGTATTGAAGTGAACTGAATGTTCTTTATTTAAGAGAAATAATGGAAAGAATTGGTTTGATCTCTGTTTCTAAATTTTAAAAATTTACTTGGAGTATGAATATTATAGACATATGTGGTCTGCAACGCCCTCAAGGGGTCTTTTTCGGTTCTTTCCTATTAAACTTTCAAAAGTGGCTTTTGGTTTACTATACTAACCTTGTGACTCTTGTCCTTGCAGGTGAAGGAGCACTTTCTGGCAACTATGGGAACCATGGCTATTCTCACAGTGGGTACAGTGCCTGTGAAGAAGAGAATGAGAGACTCACCGAGAGTCTTAGAAGCAAAGTAACTGCTATAAAATCTGTAAGTATCTTGTTAACATGGTGTACATTTTGATTGGTATGTTTGTACACATATATCACATACTTATAAACTATACTTTTTATTGGYATCTACTGAGGAAGATGGTTATTCAAATACTGTGGTTTAGCAAAGTCAAAAAGCACTCAAAATTTAGCCTCTTTAAGTAGGTTAGAAAATGTGACAAATCCAAAGATATGATATTTTCAATATTTTTTTAAACTCTGGCTATGTTTTGTRTTAAAATATGAAAAATACTATATATATTCTGCAGTAATGTCTCAACCATCTTCCACCCCCCCAGTAGCTCTTCTCGTTTTTCTAGTCTCCTAAGATAAAAAATCAAAGTCTTTCTTGTTTCTGCCTTTGAATGTCATTTCAGTCACTGAGTCATATGCTTTCTTGTGTTTCTATCTCTGTTTTCCTGTTTCTCTCTTTCTAATACTAGCCCTTGTTTCCAAGGTGAGTCATTGGGAGAATCTCTTAACCTCTATTCTGACCTCAGCTACATACTGTTGCCAGAATAATCTTTGTATTTTTAAAATTGCATTCTGAGCTCCGAAATGTCTTTGGTGACTTCTGTGATTTACCAAATRAAGTTCACACTCTTTACCTTGACTGAATAGGTCCTTCAAATATGGGCTCCCAACTTTTCTGACTTCTTGAACATCCAGAATCCACATATATTTTCTGCCAGAAAAATGAGAGTGCTCTTTGTGTCTTCTGTATGCTGTTGCCATTCCATCCCATATCTTTGATCATGCCAACTCTTTGCCATGTCATCCTCTTCTTCCTATGTTGACTAAAGCTGTGCTTTTCTTGAAAGACCCTACTTTATTGCTTTAGCTAATCACTCTTTTCCTTATGAACGTATTTCTGTAGCGTTTATTGCATAATGATTTGCTTTGGTATTATTTCTGTGTAAAAGAAATTTACCTGAGTGTAGGGTTTTTTTTTTTTTTTGTATTTTCTTTTTTATTCCACATAGAAACTAGAGTAATTCCTTATGACTGATATTAATTGTGTAAATTTGTATTGAATAAAGTAATTAGACAAAAATGTTAATAGTATATGTGTTTGATTCTTCATTGCAATAAACATGTTATATGCTTCTAAAGCATTCAGTAGAAACCCATGTTACCAAAACTTAATTGGTGTTTCCATATAATCTTTGGGAAAATCAAATCATATTCAGCCTGGAGACTATCATATTTTGAAACAGAGTATTGTTTTCAAAGTTATATTAAATCAAAAGAAGTTGATCATAGAACCTAATAATACTGTATGATGTTAATAATTTAGAAAATATAACATGTGAAAGGGCATAAGAATTAAATAGTTTATACAAAATAAACAAAACTCTAATGTTAATAATTAAGATTCCTTATTAGAAGAAAGCTGTGTGTCCTGGAAATTTCTTTTCTTGACATGAATGGCATTTGTTGAAAATAGTTGGGTGATTTGGGCCATCTAGCTTTATAAGTTTTGATTTGTTAAATTTGAGGGGAAGGTTCGTGTTCTGATCTTTAGAATTCTAAATATGGTTTTAGATCAATATTATCCCACATGCTTTCCAATTAAATTGAAAACAGTACTTATGATGGTTTGCCAAATATTTAGTAGTTGATTGTATTTATTCAAATATCTCAGAAGTGAATCCCTTGATGAATTTGTTGTGTAAAAGTGTTAGATTTTGGTTTACATGGCAGCTGAAATTACTTGTGCTATTTTATGTAGGCTTGGGCTCTTTTCTGMATAGCTTTAGGATTTAGATAATATTAACATGTAACATTTTCCCCAATTTATTATTATATTATAATGAAAAAATATTTAAAAAGTCAAAATAGTCAGTTTAGACATATTCAAAGCAATGTCATGTTTCATTAGAAAACATTGAATACTTATGTCTGGATTTAAATTGCTTATATAGGTACTTGTATAYCTTTTCAAATATATAGGTAAATGCTTTTGTGTGAATAAAGTAGAAAACAAAACAATGAAGAATAAGAAAGCCAGAGAATAATATACCAAAATTAAAACATAGAATTGAATATTGTAATGAAATCAGAATGAAATAGRAAATGTCCATAATTACCAGTAGAAAGATTAAATTTCTTTTCCATTAATTTTAGTGGACAAAGTATGAGAAGAGTGTACTATGTTTTTCTAGAATCCAGTGAAATCTGAGAAAAAGTATATGCTTAAATAGTATTGTTATTTTTACTTTATAACAATTGAGTACCATTATATGAGTAATAATGTGTATGTTTTCTTCTTTATAGCTTTCCATTGAAATAGGCCATGAAGTTAAAAGTCAAAATAAGCTATTAGCTGAAATGGTAAGTGGTTATGATTCTAACTTTAAGAAATTTGATTTAATATTCTAAATTTAGTCTATTAATCAGGAACAATATTTTAATTTTTGTCCTGTTTGAAAGAGATCTAGAGATCATAAGTTCTGTATTACCATTCATTTGTATCTAATCAGTTTATAATAGCTATGATTTATTTTTGTATTTTCATCTTACAAATACATAAGTAGGAAGAGAGGTGGAAGCTAATGTTTCTTTAGCCCTGTGTTTAGAAACAATATTAAAGACGTAAGACAAATGACTGTTTTGAGTAGTCTTAGAAATCTCTATGGGTAACGACAGCTAGTAATTTATTAACCATGCAATCCAAAAGCACTTTATATCCAACCAACCAAATGTTTCCACTTAATGGAAACTTATTTATTTTGCTCAAATTTTCTAAGGCTCACTACTGAACAAAGTCCTCATAGATTTGAATAGCCCAAAGCCCTTTATCTCTTGTCTAAAAAGGCTCAGCAACACATATATTTTCTTATTAGAGCCTTCTTTCATTTGTTAATGCCTTTTTTTGGATGTCAAACTTCTTTGAACCTTCCATTGTTTCTCCACATGATTTTAAAATTGCACTATTCAAAAATTAATATGACATTGAAAGTGGTGTTCTTCCTTAGCTTCATGCTAGAACCACTTAGAGAACTCCTTGTAAATGCGTATCTATTTCTCACACTAAGTAAACTGCTTCAAAATTTTAAGGGGAGGGAACTAGGCATATGGTTTTGTAAAGAGCATCACCAGAGATCCTGATGCATAACTCCAGTGAAKAACCATAAGTTTTTAAGTGCATGAGACACATGGATACTGAGGTATGCAAAAAAGTCTTTTAATTATGTCAGGGATTTTTCATCTGAGGACATTAAGACTTCAGTGGAAGTGTAATATTTCTTATCTATACCTACTCTGATCTTAAGGACTTTTCCAGCCATTTGAATAGAGTTGTTTTTCTTCACACATATTTATTGTCCTTTCCACGTCCTATTCCCTATGCATGATATTCTCTTAATACTTAGTACACTCTACTGTACTTCAAAGTCAGTTATCTAAACAAAAGAATCTTAATTGCTAACCATATTAAAATTAAACATTTAGCCACTAACCATATTAAACCTTGAATGCTTTCTTCTACTGGGTTGCGGTTACCTATTTGACCCTGGAAAGCAAAGCTATAACGAATAATGGGAAAATCCTGTAAGATAGTCCACAAACCTTTGTTACTATTTTTAACAATGTTTGTTTTATTGTTAGTGATTTTTAATCCACATAATTGAAATAAGGCTTAAATAGTTTGAGTTTTTTAATTACTCTGTGGGACTTTTAAAAATGTCTATTGGGTAATGAAAGAGCTTTTTATTCTTTGAGAGAACTGCTTTATTTTGCATGGAGTAATCAGGCTGATTACCCAGGGTTATAAGCAGGCTCTTGAACTGATTAAACACAAAAACTGTCATTGAAAATATACACTAATAACAGTGTATTCAATTACTTGAATGTGCACATGTAGAATAATAGAACCTAAGTATTACTTTTTCTCTTCTCTCTCATAGGATTCACAATTTGATTCTACAACTGGATTTCTAGGTAAAACTATGGGAAAACTGAAGATTTTATCCAGAGGGAGCCAAACCAAGCTGCTGTGCTATATGATGTTGTTTTCATTGTTTGTCTTTTTTGTCATWTATGGGATTATTAAACTGAGGTGATGCAAGTAAGCCTGAGTTTGGAATTTGTTCCAACTAATAGGATGAAGTTCCACTTTGATAAAAATCAGCATCGCAACATTCCTAATTTTGAAATATTAGACCTTTTCCATTGAAGATTACTGAATTTTGCTTGTTTTATAAATCACATTAGATAATACAGTGCTCTTTGAATACTGTTTCTTATTGACTCATTTAACCCCTATTTTCAGGGGTATTGAGATGGCCTAAAATCAGTGTTGCTCTACCAACCTTTTTTTCCCATTGTTTGCTAGTTGTCAGATTAATATCCTGTTGTTATCATAAATGGAGGTTTATGTTCCACATAAGAAATAGTGGGAAAGTAGTAAAATGCCTGCAGAGCCTGATTACCAGCTCTTAGGGTAGTAAGCCAGTCTGTGATGGGATGGTAATTATATATTTCTCAGCTGTCATCAACTGGGGTAATATATACCCCTTTTCTCCTTCATTTGGTTACAATTGGAGACTTAAGTTCTTTTTACCTATAATCTTAATTTTTCATCAAATTACTCTTCTTTCCTTTCTGTCTAGGACTTCCTTCTTTAATAAAGCTTGTTAATTGGGCATATGTCTGGTAGGGCCTAATCTACCTGTGTATCAACATAGTTATTGTTTTATATTAACATAAATTCCATTGACTTGGTTTATGGTAGTTTTATGATTTTAGCTASTTAGGCAGGCCATTTGATTATCATTTGTGACAGAATAATGTGAAGTTAAGTGATTGCTGAGCTCTGGGTAGAAATAAAATGTTCAAGAAAATTAATTGTCTCTGCTTTATTATGTGCTCAAAACATTGAAAATACTCAGCATTGAACTCAAGAGTTAAGAGGAATATTAATCCAGTGCATTTGTTTATAGAAAGCTAAACACAAAGGTGGATTGTTAAGTAAAAAAGAAATACTAAAATATTATCAAATACTCTGTATTGCTACTACTTTGGAGGTTTCAAAAATAAATTTTGTATTGAAATATATTAATTGACTTGGATGCATCTTTAAATCTCTTTTATGTTCTTGATGAACAAAATCAGGCAGTTAACATTGAATTATGTCAGAACTTGCTTCAAAGAAATAAGGCAAATCTTATGCAATTAAAGATCTCTTTATTTCTTTATGTTTTTTATTTATGAATGTCATTTTGGTTTTACTGAATTTTCAATTGTTTAGGCTATCCCTCATGACCTATCAATTTGAGTCCTATTTTTTTCTGATTGCATTTGTCATCATTTGGACCTGTATTTCACTGGTCTAAACCCCAGACTGAGAGAGGTTAGGTTAAGCAAGGCTAAGGAGTGGGAATAAGACACTGTTTGAGTTAGAAGCCTTGCATTCAGCTCTCCTTCCCTTCAATTACTCTGTGCTTTCAACCTCAGTTTCTTCATAGCATTACTTATTACATCGGATTGTTGTGAAAAGTAGATGAGATAACAGAGAAAATGCCTGACATGACAATCAATAAATGATAATAATTTCCATACTTTATAAATGCTAGTACTCACTATCATTAACAGAAATTAAATGTCAGAAAAGGGAGTTATTTTAAGGGCAAGATAATAGGTTGGTTTCAGGCTTTGAATTACCCAAGTGAGTAATTTCTATCAGGAGCATGACTCATTGGTTCAAGAAAATTTTAACTGTGTTCTCTGTAACAATTATGTTATACCAGAGCTCAGGGAATACTCAAATCTATCAATAGTCAAATTCGCAAAAAATGGAATGAACAGAAGCCCAAAGAAAATTATTGGAAGATGAAAACACAAGAAAATCACTAATGGAAATAGAAAAGATCAAAGTCTTAGGAAAAYCAGTGATTTCAAGAGAAGGGTGAATTTCAGGATTATAAGTTTACTATTTTATGGAAAAGTCAGATATTGTCATCAGGGAGGTAAAGATTTCAGTGAAAGGGGCTTAGAGTGATGAAAAAGTGGTTCTTATTACTGCAGGGATCAGTATTTCTTTTTTGATTTTTTTTTTAAGAACTGCAAGGAATTTGGCATTTCATATCACTCCTCTACATCACTGTTATTGCTAAAATTCTGATAGGCAGGGAACTCTTTTGAAAGCACTGGCCTGTCTTTGCTCCAAGATGGATCCTTCTGCCAGCATTCTTCTTCCTTCTGTTTAGGGACTCCCAGGAAAAGGTATTYCCAGAAATAAGATTTGGGGGAAATATCAAATATGAAAAAGTTCTAATCCTTTATAATCATTTTTAAGCCCATTGCTAATTCTGTAAAGAACTAGGTTTCTGAGAAGTTGATTGTAATAATTGAATAAATAAGATACTCATATAATGTTTTTTCAAGAGTTAAGCTTGCAGGTGTTTGGGTCCTGGATGGAGCACTACATATTCTGTATTTTAAATGGTAAAACAAATTCATAAAAAAATTTATAAAAATTGCAGATATCCAGGTTTTCCCAGAAACATCTAGTCACTTCATTTCACTAGCAATTAAACCTTGGAAGTGTGCCAAACACACTTGCAAATAATTGAATCACAGGCATGTTTTTCTACAATGAGAAAAGGGAGAATTACACATATTATTGATAGAATTGGAATTAGCATTCAAGTTAATTCTTCAATATTACTTGAGCTGGTAATAGATGTCAAATCTAAGAGAAATATGCAATATTTTAGGTATCAGAACTTTGAAGCACTTGCATCCATAAAAAGTTCTGGTTCTATAAGATAAACAAGTTTTCCTAATTTTTTCAATGCTCTTTCATTTCAAATTAACTGTTGAATTTACTTCTTTGAGAGAAAGTTGAAAAAGTGCTTAGTTTAGGTTCATTTATTGCCATTACTGATGAGTGAACTTCAACAATTTACTGGGAAGCAGAATAGCATCTCAAGGGAAGACTGAAAGCTATTGTCTGTGCACAAAACCTGGCTCTACCATTCACATTCTGACTTTGGGCTGATAACCTCTCTATCTCAATAACTCCCTGAAAAACAGGAATTAAAATTGTGTAAAGATAGTGGTAATATAGTCATGAAGGTTATGATGAATGAAATAATACTTGAAAAAGCTTTAGAATGGATGCTCAATGGTAGTTGTTGTCATTGTGATTGGGGTATTTGGGAATTCTTATCTGTTAACAATAGCCTGTACATAGCAGCTGGAATTTTGGCTGCTTTCTCCTCATTACACTGCCAGAAATAAAAGCAGCTGTTTGTCTTTTCTAGGAAAGTTTTATAATTTCTGGAATTTTATTTATTTAGATTGTGTGTGTGTGTGTGTGTGTGTGTGTGTGTGTCTCCTCAACAATCTAATGGAACTAGTTTTTTAAAAAACCTACAGTTTTTAAGCTTATTTGACTTGTTTGGGTTATTATAATGAGAACAACAGAGCTTTTGACTTTCTAGAGGCAAAGGTTTGAAGGGAGAGAAAGTTTTCTACCTATGGGGGTATCTACTATCCACTGTAATTGAATGTAATAGGGTCTCTCTAAGGTATATGTATTTTGTTCCAACCAATATTTTATCACTACACTAGTACCCTACCATTAATTATTAGGGTTTCACAGTGTTTTAACAGCCAATAGATATTCTTATCTATTTGATCTGTCTGATGAACATTCTTCGATAGTATTTTAATAAACCATAGTTGCTTTTGATAAGAATCACATTAATATTCTGTTATCTGCTCTGTAGAAACAAAAAGCTTCTCAGATGTTTTCATAATTGAAGTGATAGATTTTTACTCTGAACWTTTTATTTCCCTTTATTATGTATTTATATTCAATGGTATAGTGATAAACCAGTTCTCAGGGTGGGTGAGGGGTCTGGAAGAGCCTTGATCTATAGTAATTTTATATTTCCCTGGCATAAATACTCATATTACACTGGATTTCAAGTACCAAAGTGACATCCTTGGACACAGCATTGTGAAAGTCCATGCACAGTTGGCTCTCATGAGCTGGTATAACTAGCTCCAGTGTCCTTGTTGTATTGATAATCAATATTCTTTTTWAAAAAAATATAAAAGTTATTTGTTCCCCTAAAATTGTGATTAAAAACTCAACAAATTGTAATAGATAAAACCCAAGAGACATGAAATTAAACAGATAAATTAACTTCAGAATAATGTTTTCCAAAGGCAATGGACACTTAGAAGTTGATTTGTACATTTTATGTGCCAACTCTGTTTGTATGGGTAAACTCTTGCTACATATATTGACCTTCCATGTCCTGGTAGTTCAAATATTATATAATAACAATATAAGAAAAAGTTAGAGGTTATTAGTATTTTGGTTTTCTTCCTGATTTTTCCTCTTGTCAAATGTTTAAGCATTCATGCAGGATCATTCTATGAATTTTATACTAAAGTAGGACAGAAGAGGCTGGACACCTGAGGAATTTTCAGGAAGCAGGTTTTTTGGCTGCAGGGTTCAGAACGGGCTACCTTCTAAAACTTCTTCCTCTGAACAATGAATCTAGAAATTCTTTGAACTTTATACCCAGTGCAGGAGAGGACTAGGAGGTTCACATGACAAGTGCTTTTTGTTCTATCCTCTAGACCAGAGAGGTTTAACAAGTTTTTTTTTTTCTTCAAACCTGGCATTTACAAAAAGAGGAAACTATCAACTACAATGCCCTTCTCCAGAAGTTTTTGCTGATAAAAAGCTTTCTGAAAGGCTAAGAGGAACTTACATGCCACAAATACGGTGGARGTTTCTGCTTAATTATGGTAAAAGTCTTCTGGGTGGGGGTCTGTGGCCTGCTTCAATATTGCTTTCTTTCTGTGCATATCCTTACTTCGGCAATTGTCTTGGCCCAGGAGTTCAGCTCCACACAAACCTGTTTGCCTTTTTAAAAGAACTTTTCACCAGCCTTTGAAGTACTACCATGAAAAATGAAGAGATGTGCTTGTGCCAAGTCCAAGCCTAACTTTTTTTAATCTTCAAAATCAACAGAAATATATATAAAATGTTTCTGACAAAACAGAGCAAGTATATGTTAGGGTGAGACTTTAAAATTCATAGAAGCTCAGTAAATCATTTATAACTTTATTAACTAAAGGATAATTCAAAATACAACTACATTCTCTGTTTTAAATCTAAGTACAAAGTCTTTATGGCACTTAAAAATTAATGCTTAATTTTTTTTCAAAACTAATTAATTCAACTTTGAAAATTTAAACAAGCCTCAGTGTCATACAATTGAATGTAAAAAGTTTCTGCTGTGTTTTTTCAAATATCTGTGATCACTGTGATTCCTGTGAATGGAGACAACTGAATCTGACTTTATTAGTATTTTGTAATCTTTGATGTCTACARTGAATTTTGAAATGAGCAAAGAAAAATAACAAAACAACATTTAGAAAATTCATAAAAGCAGATGTTGATATATAATAAAAACTTTTTTAACATTTTAAAAGAACATAATTATTCTTTTATTTTTTCAATTTTATCTCATTAATGAATAAATAGTCCTAAAAGCTGGTACTATATTAAGTTTTCTGCACTATTTAATAATCTATTTGCTTTAAAGCATATAAGATAAACTTACTTTCGAGCAAACTGGATCATTAGTATTATGTGAGAAAGGTTTTTAGAAACTTTCGGTGTTAACTATTTCAGAAAAAAATATTGAGTWAAATGCTTTAGTTTGCGTAGAGATAAATTTGATGCTTAAGTTTCTTTAAAAGTCTCCCTTTAACATTCTAATTTCATATCCATATATTTTATATTTATATTTAAATTGTTTTAAATTGTTAAAAACTTTAATARCAAGTGGTTTGTTCACACATACATAAAACAATGAAGTATAAATATATTCTGATGATATCTGTTAAAGAGATCCATATTATTAGATTAAAACTTCTTCAAAATGGCAGGCCCAGTACTCCAACATATTGGCTCAAGAACTGACTTCCTTAATAAGACCTCTAAAGTGTAAGAAATAAAATCAATAGTCAACCAATGGGATGGCATCAA